CACACAAGAAAACACATGAGAGAGGCGCCTTTTCAGTGCTCCTAGCCTGTTATGTAGATAGCAACTGACTGATCTGGAAGTCTCATCCAGCTGTTTTGTGAAGGAACACAGGATATCAGCTGCAATAACATGGCTGGGCAGCTTGTTCCACACTCCCACCACCCTTTGTGTAAACATCTCAAAATATTAGTTCAATATGCACTGTCCCCCAATGAGACATAAACCAGTATGTCCCTTCTTTGGGCCCTGGTTCATGTCACATTAATGGTTCCAAAGATGTCCACTGGGTTTGCTTTTTTCCCTGGAGGATTCTGAACTGAAGTTAAAGTCTTTTCTGTTCAAAACTTAAAAAAAAAAATCCAGTTCCTTTAGCCTGTGAGTGTGGACCATTCCCCTAAACACAGGACTCTTCCCTAGACTCGTTCCAAGAAGCAATACCTTTCGTGAAAGACGGTGACCAAATGCGTACAATATTCTAAATGAGCTCTCACTGTTGTATTGCACAGTGTTTCATTCGACATGAAACCGTGCAAGAAACCGATGCAAAGAAACAGGTAAAGGTTTATTCCATGCTGAAAGGAAAACGAAAGAGACACACTGTTTCGGCTACGGAGCTTTTTCCACGAGTGGGCCGTTTCTTCTCAGCACGGAATAAACCTCTTAACTGTTCCTCAGCATTTCTTAAAAGGGAGTCACCGGCCAATCAGAACGTTTTGAAAACCTGCTCTAAAATAGTAAATGTGTTGTTCCCCCACTGCCACCTAGTGGTTTTTAAGTCGCTGTTGAAAGTGCACCAAAACGGTCGATAACGCTCGATAACTCGAGGTGAAAGAATCGACCTTTCTCAGACTGAAATCCGATTCAGTTTCCTGTTGCCCTGTAATGTATTCGTGTTAAATGTTACAGCCCATTATTATTGTTGTTGTTGTTAATATCTGTTGTATATTTAGTCCCAAGGTATAAATATTTTTTTGCTGTTTATATTTATGTGGAAAAACAACTCAAACTTTGAATTTGAAATATCGTACTATTCCATTATTTGCCAGTCGCCACATATGTATCACGGCACGGACAGGTTAGAAACTTAATTTCACTTTTCGAACAAAAGTGAAAAATGACTATCGGAGATCTTCAATTAATTAAATGATATAACGTTTACTGTGCTGCCAGTTTTCCATGCTTACTAAAGTCGAAAGAAGCATATTACTATCTTATCAATAAGAAAACTTCATCTCATGAACTGTTCCAACTGCACGATTATTAGGTGCAACACAACTCCAGTTCTCTCTTCTTTTCAATTACTTTAGAGTTCATAAAACTTTGGTTTCGAAAGAACAATTAAACCTACGGACGCAGGCCTGCTGCTACGAGTAACTTGAGAAATACACACGGTCTACCATAATGATGGAGCAGTATGCACAGCATATAGAATTAAACTTGTATTTTCCCTGATTGATTTCTGCACGCAACCTGTCAAAACCTATGCGCTAAAAACAACTGTGTCTGCAACCTAACTTCACAGCCAGCCGGGGGCGCATGCGCTCTCCCGTGTCCTCGTGGCGTGTAGCGTAGCGCGTAGGGTGACGTAGGCGCCAGTATAAGTACCGAGCGTGAGCGCTGCGAGGTTCCTTCATGCGCCAGCAGGGAGGTTGGACGGTGGCTGTTGTTGTGTAAAGGTTAGAGAAGGGCGCTTTCTTTCGTCAGAAGAGGAAGACGAAGCATTTCGAAGACATGCCCCGTGTGTATATTGGCCGGCTGAGCTACCATGTCCGTGAGAAGGACATCCAGAGGTTCTTTAGCGGCTACGGGAAGCTGTTGGAGATCGACCTGAAGAACGGGTAAGGGAGAGGTGGGGGTAGGGTGCGTGCGCCGACTGTTGATGCGTAGTTTGTGTTTACTGCGCTGTGGGAAAAACGAGCGCCGTTTCACGGCTGGACCGGATTATGAGGCTTCGCAGTGTGGGAATCCCGTACTGCGAATTCGTTGCTTAGCTACCGTAAGAGGAAAAAAACAGCCGCCCGGTGAGAGATTGCCGCGTGGACAAAATGGCGGCCGCGCTGGAGACAAGGACCGTGAGGGGCTGGAGGGACGCGGCTCTCGGCGGGAGCCAAGCGCGAGTGCTCGCAGGCCCGCGCCTTCCCCGAGCCTGGACACGCCGCGCCGGGAGGAGGCGACCCGGCCACGCGTGACGCGCTGCTGGTCCGCAGGCCCGGCGTTTTCGGAGAGTGCGGACAAAGAGCGGGCAAGGGAGGATGTAGGCCGCGGAGGGGGCGCGGGCAGCCCGCGGCAGGCCCGTCCTGACTGGTAATACGGCGGAGGATCGATGCGTTCAAAAGGAAGTTGCATCGCTGCGGGCGCAAGTCCTTTGTTTAAACGTGAAGAGGAGCACAGGTTTGGGCCAGGGCACGTTTGCTCTAACGCGAATCGTGTTTTGGTTAAGTTTGGGGGTGGCTGTGGTCTGGTGGGGGGGGGGGGGTGAGATTCTGCTCATGTTAACGCGCATCACGATGTGGAGGGAGGTCATGTTGATTTCGTGTTCACCTCCGCGCCGTGCATTGATCCGACAAACGTGACGCGTTTCCACCCCCTGCAGATACGGCTTCGTGGAGTTCGAGGACACCCGCGACGCGGACGACGCCGTGTACGAGCTGAACGGGAAGGAGCTGTGCGGGGAGCGGGTGATCGTGGAGCACGCCCGAGGACCACGAAGGGACAGAGATGGATACGGTGGGGGTTATGGCGGACGCAGTAAGTGCCGTCTACTGCCAAATCAAATAATCTGAGCATCTTTGACTTTTTGCAGATTCCTGGATATGTGCTGCCAGTTTACATTAAGCTATCTTACACACGTTGCTTGAGCAGTGGGCTAGGGAAACTGAATTTCATGCTTTGACCGTGTATTGCTTTGTAACATCTGAATGCTAGATTTGTTTTGGGAAGCTAAAAGTATCCTCTGACTTTTGCCAAGCTTTTCAGATTGCAATACACCAAATGAGTTTAACTGCAAATTCCTGTGTAGTTTTGTGGATTTCGTGTGTTGAAGAGGGTGACTTCTTAAATGACGTTTGCATTATTCAAACCAACAAGTTTTAATCCCATTCTAGGGTAATACTGGAGGGGTTACAGGCTCAAGAAGGGGTACCTGCGTTGTGAGGGAGGACTTGAACATGTTGCTGCACTGCCGTCTGAAGTTCACTTCAGCTGGATAGGCATGCGTTGGTCAAGTGGCATAGGTCCTGTGTAGGGACCTCTCTTTCCAGGATGTCAGAAGCCATGGAAGGGTTTGCAGTCCTGCAGTGGAGGGCCCCTCAAGCTAAAGCTCAGATTGTTTAAATAGTGGGGGGAGAAGTATGTTAGGATAGGTCTATTTATATGGCAGCTGTGTGTTAATTTGGCCTTATTTAGGTGGTTTAGAGTAGTGGAGGATAGCTGCCTTTGTGTGTTGTGGACTTATTGTTTCAGGGCATTTGTATATGCAGCTCAGTGGGGATTGGGCTAGGTAGCAAAGTGAAGCTTAACCCAGAATTCCTAATTTTTCGTAGCAAAGTGTGAAGGAGTGCAAAGCCCAGCTGCCATGTAAATAACCTAAAAATGTGTTGCATTGTTTACTATTGAATTCAACATTAACAAAGTCCTTGATGTTTCAATTTGAAAGAGTCCAGTGCGGGCTGAGGCTGAGTCCGAGTCCATTGAGGCTAAGATGACTGCCTGTCCCGTTTGGCCTTGGCTTTCACCTTACAATGTGTGTGTGACCTTTGCCCTTTGACCCTTTGGCTGACCTAACCGGAAGCCATGATGACAGCAGCCTTTTGCCAATAGACCAGGGTGATGGTGAGGAATCCCATTGGTTTTTATGTTCAAACAAATAGTGGAGCGGTTAAAGCCAACGCAAGATGTTACCGCCATCTGTTATCCTGCTTTGTAAAAGAGCAGTTGGCTTCAGTTGCTGTGAGTCTGATTGGCTCAACCTTAGTATGGCAGTGGTTAAGCTTTATAATCATTGCCAGTAGTCTCACCTTGTTGTTAAGACATCCTGACAGCAAGCGAGTGGGTTAATGCCTACCTGTAAAATGCATTCGTGGTTTGGAGAGCCGAGTAACCTGAGTAAGTGACTTAAATCCTGTGATATTATCTTTTTGTGGGTTCATTACCCAGTGAATGGCAATGAACTGGTTGCATAAGTCCTTTAAGCTTTTGGCACCGTTTTAAGTGCATTACTGTTCTTTGGCCGGTGCACAGAGAACAGCAATGTAAACACTTCCTAGTATTTGTACAGTAACATTTGTACAGTACACAGGTTGGCATTTGACTGAAGATATAGAAAGCCACACCTGCCAAGGCTGCCTGAACACCATTTTCTTGTCCCAGAGTTAAGATGGAACAGGTTGTTTCTGTGGGTATTATCTGTGCATGAGAAAGCGGAGTCCACAGGAACTATTTTGGTGGACTAGAGCCAAAAATCTTTATCATGCGTAGTTGATATCCCGCTAGTGGCTGTTTTTTCCCCTTTAACTCCCTATGGAGAAGTTGCCAGCTCTCCATGATGCACTGCTGACTTTGTCTTCCCCTGTTGTTTGAAGGTAGTAGTGGTTACAGCAGAAGCCGCTCCGGCAGAGACAAGTATGGGCCTCCTGTCCGCACTGAGTACCGCTTGATTGTGGAGAACCTTTCCAGTCGCTGCAGCTGGCAAGACCTTAAGGTGAGTTCAGGGTCTTTTACCGGCTGGTTAGGGGGTAGAAGCCATAGTGTTCGTTGTAGCTCCCCTTGCAGTGGCTTGCTCACAATCTTGACAGGTTAATGTTGTGGTTTAACATTTTACTAACAGTAATAGAATAAACATACCCCCATTTAAATAAAGGTAATTTTGCTACTGTGGTGGTGGAGCTTTTGTTGGATTTCCTAGTTTAGTCTGGTTTGATAGAAAGAGGCCATTGAAACATGCCTTCATTATTTAATAGTTCTGTGTAGCTGTGTTTTCAGATCACCAAGACGCTTGTCCCTCATGCTCTTCGCAGGATTTCATGCGGCAGGCTGGAGAGGTGACGTATGCAGACGCCCATAAGGAGCGCACCAACGAGGGCGTGATCGAGTTCCGCTCCTACTCCGATATGAGAAGGGCTCTGGAGAAGCTGGACGGCACGGACATCAACGGAAGGAAGATCCGCCTGGTGGAGGACAGGCCAAGGCGCCGGCGTTCCTATTCTGGCAGCCGGTCCAGGTGCGGTATATTCAGTGCGGTGGTTCTGGACGGTTCCTCCGATGGCCGCGGTGTGCAGTCGGTGGTGGTCCAGTTAATGTGCAACATGATCCATTTTAGATGTCTTGTCTTGGGTGCCCCTTGTTTCTTACCCAGAGTTCCTACCCGGTTATCAGGCGTTGAGCATTAAGTTGCTCAGACATGCAGTAGTTAACCATACTTTTTGACTGGAAAGGCCTGCTTTATGCCCGTTCACCTGCTGTGTCCGTGTGTTGTGATGGTGCCTCTCCTGTCGGTGTCCTCTCGCGGCTGCAGTTGATGAATGCTGTTCTCATGGTTGTTGACCGCCACACCCTTCTGTCCGGGCAGGTCCCGCAGTCGGCGCCGGTCCCGCAGCAGGAGCCGCAGGAGCAGCCGCTCGCGCAGCAACTCCAGGTCCCGCTCCCGGTAAAGTAGCCTCCCTTCTAGATTCGCGTACCCTTCAGAGCATGGCTCCTCCGAGCACTCGACACGCCGCACCCCTCTCACGCCGGGCTCGTCTCCCTTGTAGGTCCCGCTCCAGGAGCAAGCGGCGGTCCCGCTCCAGGTCGGCGCGCAAGTCCCGCTCCAAGTCCCCGGCGCACAAGTCCCGCTCCCGCTCCCGCACCAGGAAGTCCCGGTCCCGGTCCCGCACGAGGAAGTCCCGCAGCCGCTCGGCCAGCAGGAAGTCGCGCTCCCGGTCCGCCACCCGCAAGTCGCGCTCCAAGAGCCGCTCCAAGGCCAAGTCCGACCGCGACTCCCGCAGCCGCTCCAAGGAGAAGTCCGTGGGCAAGAAGTCGCGCAGCCGCTCCCCCTCCCCCGTGGAGAACGGCAAGGGGGAGCGGGCCAAGTCGGCCTCCCCCTCCCCCTCCCCCCAAGCAGACAGCCGCCGCTCCAAGTCTCCGTCCAAGCGCTCCCCCTCCCGGTCCCCGTCGCGCTCCAAGTCCCGCTCCCGGTCCCGGTCCGGCTCGCGGGACTAGCGGCCCGGTCGCGGGGGCGGCCGCCCCATTTCGGAGGAGGGGGTGATTTTGTAATTGGTTTAAGCTGATCAAACGCAGCTCTGAGCGCTGAAGATTTGGTCGGTGGTCTTAATTTTTTTTTTTCTCCTTCATGTGCTTGAGATAATAGCTGCAGTTTCTAATGATAACTCAGATTTTTGTACGTTTGGCCTGAGACCATATGTGAGCCAGGATATGGGGTGCCAAGAGTTGAATACCTGATGAACTCTTTGATTTGTTTAATATTTTTCTAGGAGACATCGGTGTCACAGTCATAGTTTTGTGTATGCCTGGCTTGCTTGACCTTTTTTTTATTTCACTTTTTGATCGCCCCTGCAGTCCTGGTTTGAGTCAGTATTGGGTGTCCCTGTGCATCCACAACACCTAGGTTGTATCTGCATTTTAAAAGGCAATTTTTGCTTCCCCCCCAAAAGTTCAGAATATCCTGTGGCTTGTTTTACCGCAGTGATTTTGATTTCTTTTGAGTCCCTTGCCTTGGTATAATGTTGACAATTTGGCTCCACCTTTGTTGCCACAGCAGTCAAATTGACATGTTCAAACATTTGGATCTTTTGAGACCAGCTTTGGAAAATTGGCCAGTGGTAAGGACTTTACCTGGATGTGTATTTCATGATGAGTTGCACTTTTTATTGCTAAAGTGTAATCCATAAATAAGCATGTGAACTTTTTACTGTACAGTTATTAAAGGTTCTTATGGAAAAATGTGAAGTTTGTTTTCTTTTTAGGTGTTCAACTGCTGAGAAACAGGGTAGTTTATGACTGTGGCTCGTTTTGTGTAAGGGAACTGGGTGCTGTGAAATTGCTTCATGATAATAGTGCCTGCAACACCCCTGAGCCCAGATAAAAAGTGGGGGGTCTGTGTGCAGATTTGCCCTAGGTCAATAAACCACCCGTTTTCATTAAAACTGGAAACTGAAGTTGCTTGTGCTAATTTGCTCTTGAATTTAAGAGCAAATATCAAGGGCACCTCATGTTGCGCGCAATTCAGACACTGTGGCCTCCGTGGGTTTAGGTATCGGGTTTGTAATCGGTCAACTCCACACCAAAGCAATGAAGCGGAGTGTTGCAGACAGAGCTGGAGAAACGAGCTGGAAGCGTTATTTTGCGGCGGGGGCTGCGTCTGTAGTCTCACTTAAGAGGTGCATGTGACAAGACGGTGTTGCGATGTATGCAGGAAAGACCGGGCTTGTACTTCAAGCGGCTCCTGCCGGTTCATCTCGATCAGCCGGACGCGGTGGGGAAACCCAGGAGGGCGAGAAGAGATGAGTGAAGACGTCGCGGGAATACGGGAGAAAAAACACGCTCTTAGGGGCTTTGATTGTGATTGTGCCAACAAAAACATTTCCAATAAAGTGCGGAGTTTGACGGACAGTTGTCGAGTGTGAATTAAAACGCATACCCGGCGCGGTGCCTGTTCGCGGCGCGGCTGGGCTGTGAAGCCGCTGCAGTCCTGTGTGCATGCCCGGTGCGCGGCTCGCGCATGCGCAGTGCTGCGCCCGGAGCCGCAAGGAGAACCAACCGCTGGTAAGACCGATCGGTTCATTCACACACATTGTGCCGATTTATTATTTCTACATCTCGAAACGGAATAATAGCATGGGGTGTTCTAGATTAACTGTAGTCATAAGCATTATCTTAAGGTGTTGAGAAGGTTCTTAGTTTTCTTACATTTCATTAAGCATGTTTCATTTTTAATGTATAGTCATCTTATTATAATAAACCCATATTGATTAAGCTGTGGTTTTTTTGACAACCTCAGTTGTGGTATTTGGGGTAGTTTTCGGTTTCTCCTTTGTCTAGTAAATCTAGGGGGGAAATGGGGTTCCACTCTGCTGTTGCATAACGTTAAATTAAATATTGTCAGCAGTAGATGAAACATTCAACGCCTTGCACTTTGATGAAAAGCTGCATGTCGAATCCTACATCGCACAAGATTCTTGAAAGAGTTAAATCATGCCGCCATTTTGCTATAAATTGCTAGGGTTTCACATTTTAATAATGGTCCTGTAATTGGGGGAAGAAAGCAGACGGCTACTCTCTATGACAAACTGGTTTCTTTGTGAAATAAGGGACTGAGATGAAGGAGCTCACAGTCGCAGACGAGGTCGGTGCTGTGGACTAAGTGTAAAAAAATGGTTGTATTGTTTTTAATACTGCTTTCAAGGTTCAGCGCTCCTGGCGTCTAGCGTACTGCAGGTACCCTGGCGCAAAGACGGTATATAGTATATACTATTTAACAGTGCTGGAGAAACAGCTCTGCGCCTCTAAATATTTCGCCCCGTAACGTGTAGCCAGGTTTTTGCCTCACATGGCTCAGAAAGATGTTACGGATAAATCTTTGTCAGGACCGAATGAAAACCGCCACCGGTACCGGTAATGGTAATATGTTTATGAAATAAAAAAGCCCACGAGTTTCCGCAGTACTTCACGCCGTCTGGGTAATAATGTCAGGGGGAGAGACCGCCGCCTCTCCGCTAGAGGTTTTGAACGTGAAAGATGCGTTTGATCTAAATGGCGTTTCAGGTTGCAGCACATACAACTTCCAAAATCAGATCACAGCTGACTGCATTCCTGTGTCTAGCAGTGTAATTCGCTCAAACAATCGCTTTATGAACGCTACGATTAAACGATCCGGGGAATGCCAAGTGTGTTGCTCTCCGGGTTACTTGTAACTAGCCGAAGAGATAACAAAGGAGGCCATTCGACTCGGCTAGTCTGTAGGGTAGTTAGTAGTTAATTGATCCCAGGGTCTCCCCCGTTTCTTTATAGAAAGCAGGGTATCAGCTTTGACAATATGGGTGGGAAGCTTGATCCAGACTCCCACAGCCCTTTGTGTAAAGTAGTGCATCTTGTTCTCAGATTTAACTGCACTTCCCTGTAGCAGAAGTAGAGTCCCCTGTTAAAGACATCCCAGACTACGTGCATTTGGGTACCTGAATGAAATCTTATCTGATTTATAATAAAATAAGAATACTTCTGTATATAATAGGGTAAATTCTCCATTCACTGCATGAAACCTGTGGAAAGAAAGTTACGTCACTCAAGAAACTGTTGGGAATATTGTAATTTCTTTCAAAATCTGCAACATCTGTTGCCTAATTTAGGAGGCTTTTCTAATGATGAGGCGCTGGTTTGGCTGAAATCAGTCTGGATCATCATCACAAGGGCCACCCGGGTGTCTCTGGGACACCGCTGCAAGCACTGACCCATACCTGCCTCTCATCACAGCCAGACGGTGGCACCAGTCCCCGAGGAGATGAGCAGGAAAGTGGGTCTTGAGGTGCTGGTGGTGGGCGGAGACAACCCCTCCACTGAAGGCAACGCCCCCCTCCCAGCCAATGAGATCTCAGTGCAGAAGACACGCCCCCAGGCCCAGACCACTGCTTTCATTTTGCCAGGTGAGGTCACTCCCAGCGGCACAGTCCTGTGCAGCACAGGGGCTGGTGCAGTATTAATGCTCTGCAGCTTATTCGTTGCAAGACATAAGAACTAAGTGATCCCTGACTTCCCTTTGCATCCATCACAGCCCAAGCAAAGAAAATATCAGCTCTGAGATGCCGTAAGGACAGCAGAAAATTCTCTGATTTCTTCCAATTATATCCATGAAAACTATGGAAATGTTGACCTACAGTAGAGGTCACACTAGCCCAGGATGTCTGCATCGCAATAGCAACATTGTCAAATGACAGCAAAATAGACTTTAATTTAAAAAAAAAACATAGTGAGCTTTGCTTTGTACTCTGTATTCTTGAAAAACCCATGGGTTCTGAAAAAAACTTGCTGATCGCTCCTGAACTGTCTTTATGCAAACACTGTGTGCTGTGTGACGGAGACGTTGATTGAAAAGCTCTGCTCTATCTTGTCACAGGAGATCTTTGTTGCTTATTTTGGTTGCTTATAGGCGTACTGATCTGAGGATGGTGGGTACATCTAAGTTAGCCACATAGTTCTTCTGGAATCACAGCATAAATTTCTTTAAATTTGTAAAAGCTGCAAAAATAGAATATGTCAAATTTGCCCAATTAAGCAAGTACTGTGTTAGCTTGGTTACATACTTGCTTAAGTATGAAGTTATAAACTCGGTGAACATACTGAGATCAGAAAGGTAGTGCTCTGTTTCATGTATTTATGCCGCTGTTCATCTTCACACAATTGTGATGTGATTCTTCTGTTCCGTTGTGGCCTTTTCTTGACTAGATCTCTCTTGTGCTTCTGACACACAGTGCCCCAGCAATGGCTCTCGAAGTTTCAAGCACAGCCATTCACACACAAGGCTCTCATTACACTGCTAATGCGACGCACATTTCCTGGGCACTAACGAGCCCACAGTCAAAATGCAGGAGAATGAAAGCTGGATTTATAAGCTCGATTAATAATAAGATAAGATCACTTTATTGGCCATATACAATTTCTTGCATTAGGAATTCATCTTTTTGCAGACTCCAGCTTGCTCTCCATGAGACACACAGACAGGGAGAGAAGCTTGGGGTCAGAGCGCAGTGTCAGCCATTGTACAGCACCCCTGGAATAGTTGGGGTGAAGGGCCTTGCTCAGGTGCCCAACAGAGTAGGATTCCTCTGCCAGCCACAGGATTTGAACCAGCAACCATCCAGCCACAGGTGCAGATCCATAGCCACAGAGCCACTGCTCCACCTGATGACAAGCAGGTTGAGACCGATCAGCCACTATAGACTCAGATCCTTAGATGCTGATTTTATCCTTTTCGCTAAGCGGTATTTAGTCCTTGTGTTATTTGTGATTTGAGATTCTGCACTAATAGCTTGATGAAAACGGCCAGAAAGCTCATGAAGTCTCACGGCAGCATCACAAATGTCTTCCTTAGTTTCTCAAGGTTTTTCAGAGAAATTAAGCTTAACATTGGTTTCTGGACTTGTTTACTAAAGTGTCAGCACTCGAGTTGCATGGCATTCTGAACCATGTGATATTATTTCTGATTTATTTCATTTTGTAGTGATTCGTTTATTTGACTGCGGTGACTCACATTTGCATAACTGGGTGTTTCACTGAATTAATTTAGGTGATGTAGCCTTCTCAAGTGTAGAACAGCAGCGTTTCCTGTGGAATTTGAACCCGGAGCCATGTAGGTCCAAATTCAACACCCCTAACCACTGCACCACACTGCTGTATCAGAGGCAGGACATTTCAACACAGTGATAACATCTGTGAACAGAGGAATAGGAATGAACAGACCTCTGCTATTGACCTCTACTGCCTGTGGATGGCTGAAAAGCAAAACCAGTTTTATTTCATCACACCCTTCAGTAATGGCATTAAACACAAAACTCCATTAAGAGAACTTAGAAACATAGGCCCGGACAGACAGCTGTCTTGACTAGTCCCTTTCACACCACATGCAAACTGGAAGTAGCCAGTGTGTGAGTCAGTAACAGGTTTGAAATATTGTTGTATCGGCCATTCAGAAACATTCATGATGGACAAAGAAAAGGCCACAGGTTCTTTCATTTATATGAGAAGTGGCTCATTTATAGACAGGGACTGATAGGAAACTTAATTTGTAGTTATGGGTTGCACTGATCAGCAGAATTCTTCAGAAAACAGGAAGAAACCTTAATCGGGCTTTCAGAATCTGTTGCTAATCAGAGTTAGTAGCTTGAAAAATGAAGGTTCTGTTTCTGAAAACCGATTGGGGGCTATTTGTCCGTTGAGGGCAGGAGTCAGTTCGGCGCGTGTGGGTGAAAGGCTCCAGCGTGCCCTGTGTTGGAGGGCACGCGGCCCCCCCAGCCCAGCGCTCCTCCAGCCTGCTGTCTCTTTCCCAGCCCCCAGCTCCACTCTCGTGGGCGTGCGCAATGGGGAGGGGCCCAGGGGCCACATGGAGCCCCTGAAGGGGGGCGGGGCTGGAGAGCCGGTGACCTCCGCGCTGACCCCGCAGGTGGGCGGAGCCTGCAGCGTGGTCCACGTGCTGGAGTGGAAGGAAGGCGTGGCCGTGCTCCCTGGCACCAACCTCAAGGTATTCTGGGACTTCCCGCCTTGTCGTCTCCTGGGTCGCCGCACTCCTTGGATCTCCTCTGTTGCCAGTTAGCTCTCGGCCAAAATGGTGGCCTCTTGCAATGTGTAATCTGGGAAATATTTGTGGATTTGAGCTTTTGAAATTGGAATGTCAGGTGTTTGATATGAGGATGGAGCTGCATCCCCTGTTGTGATTGATGTGCTCATACCTCATACCTTTACTTCTCCGTTGGAAACTTCTAATTGGAAAGACAGAACATGTGACTGACTGTAACACGGGGTTTATCAGCCCTAATTCTGGTGAGCCCTGTGTCTGCAGGTTTTCATTGCAGTTGAGCTCTTGATGACTTAATCAAACCCTTAATTGAGAAAATATTTCGATTAGTGAATGATAGAGATTACTTTGTGTTTCCTGATCTTAAATTGCTTTTTAAGAACTATTGTATTCTTTCTTATGAAGAATAATAGCAATCAACCAGTTTTATCAGAAAAAGAAAATTACGAGCAAACATCTAATTAGGTTTCAGTGAAGGTTTCAGTTAAGTAAATGAGAGCTCAGTTGGATTGAAAACCAGGCACTGGCCTCACAAGGACCAGATTGGGAAGATATACTGTAATGCCTCAGGTATGGTTTTGTCTGCTTCTTTAATTCGTCCTAAGGGACATATGGTGGTTAGCTCTACTGCCTCACAGCACTCTGGTCCTGGGTTTGATTCTGGACTGGAGTACCTTAAATGTGGAATTTGCATGTTCTCTCTGTGTTTGCCTCCAGTGCTGTGCTCCGGTTTTTCTCACCTCTCAAAATCTGTAGGGTAGGACTGATTGGCTGCCCTAAATTGTCCTCCAGGTTTTGATCCAGAGTTCCTCTAGCTGACTTAAATCCTGTATACTGAGCCTAAGCAGGTTATATTGGTAAAATAGCTGTAAGAGCTGTTGATTTGTGGAACTAAACCAGAGGTGCAGGATGAGTGAATGTCTAGTTAAATGTCCCAGATTTCAGAACATTGACCCTTGAAATCATCATGTTTTGCAGAAACACTGGTGGTGAACTCTCGATGTTCAGAGCTTGTGCTCCTTTTCAGTTTTAAGGTCCTTTCTTGGAAACGTTCTTAGCTACGTTCACTTTTCATTTTTTCATTTCCTCCATTTCTCTTGAAGATGCTCAGTGAGTGGTTCTACTTCCCAGTCGGTCTATTAATAGGTGTCCTGGAATATTTTCATCGCGTACTTACACGTGTACTGAAAAGGGGGTGGTGTGTCCCGCAGTTCCGGATGAATGACTTTGGCACGCTGGAAGTCGTCAGTGACAGGAAGGTGCCATTCGTTGATCCCAGTGCAGAAGGGGCTGCTGGGAAGGAGATGGAGACAGACGGGAAGTCAGCCCTTAAACCAGGTGAAGGGAGCAGGTTTCTGTGCAGACTCCTCTATTGACAAAAAGAAGACATTGCAGTATTTCTTTTTATATTTTTCTGCTGCTGACCCATTCAGGTTGGTGCAGG